GGACCCCAAACCAACAGGAAACTCAACCCCCCTAGAATCTGGAATCCCAGAGAGACACAACAAAGACTGATTAATTCCTGTTCTAAACCGGGGCGCAAAGACACCGGGAATAGTGCATGGCCCGTGCTGTGGCTTCCACTGCTGGCTTCCGGTGGGCAGGAGTGAGAGCCCTCACCTGCTGGGCAAGCGTGTGTGTCGGGGTTGAGGAGAGAGCCATGTTGCCATCTGGTGGCTCAGGATTGCTTAGAAGTGAAACAGCTAATCTGGTAACTTTGAGGACTGTCCCTGCATCTGGGGAGTCGGACTGACTGCGAAATGTTGGAGAGCCATCGATTTTCCCCTCGTGAATTCAGTCTATTTAATCAATCAATTCGTTAGTTTCTTTTTGAGACAGGTTTCACTCTGTTGCCCAGGCTGGAGTGCAGTGATGCAATACCGGCTCACTGCAACCTCTGCCTCCTGGGTTCAAGCCATTCTTCTGCCGCAGCCTCTTGAGTAACTGGGATTACAGGCATGCTCCACCACGCCCAGCTAATTTTGTATTTTTAGTAGAGATGGGATTTCACCATGTTGGCCAGGCTGGTCTTCAACTCCTGACCTCAAGTGATCCGCCTACCTTGGCTTCCCAAATTGCTGGATTTATAGCCATAAGTCACTGTGCCTGGCCCTGCCTTCCTTTTTTATTTTCTATTCATTTCCTTTTACTTCCTTTCTCTGCTTAAAGAAGCCAATAAATAGTAAACATGCAGTGAGGCTACAGTGGTAGAAGAGCATGCTGTGGGGCCCTGAAGGCTGCCAGAGGGCAGCGCAGGTCGGGGGTCAGGGGTCAGGGGTCAGGGGTCAGGGGCCAGGCAGGCAGGTGTGGACGCCAGCTTGGCCAATGCCCGGTCATGTTCCCACCCCAGCCTCAGCCTCCTCACCTGCACCAGCAGCAGCCTCAGAGGTGACCAGGTGAGAGGCGAGGTCCTCTACTGACGGCTCAGTATGTGGTGTTCACACACTGAATGGCAGCCCCTCAAACACCAGGCATCTTCAAGATCAAGTGTCACCCCTGCGCCCTGAAGGCCTGACCACTCTCATGCTGGAGGCTCAGTTCCCTAAAGCAGGAATCCAGGGGCTTGGGCACCAGGAAAATGCAGTGCTAACCTTAAAAACTTTCAATGAGCTCAAAACAGAGAGTTGAAAGTAAATACATTAATTAAATGGATTGATTTTTTTTTTTTTTTTTTTGGGACAGAGTCTTGCTCTGTCACCCAGGCTGGAGTACAGTGGGACGATCTTGGCTCACTGAAACCTCTGCTTCCTGGTAAGGCAACATGGTGAAACCCGGCCTCTACCCATGCCTCCTGCGTTCAAGCCATGCTCCTGCCTCAGCCTCCCGAGACTGCAGACACCCGCCATCCTGCCCAGCTAATTTTTGTATTTTTGTAGAGACGGGGTTTCACCGTGTTGGCCAGGTTGGTCTCAAATTCCTGACCTCAGGTGATCTGCCTGCCTCAGCCTCCCAAAGTGCTGGGGTTACAGGTATGAGTCACTGCACCTGGCCAAAAGCCTTGATTTTTAAATCTTGTTGAATTAACATTATTTTAAGCTAATTAAACTAATGTCTTAAACTAATTAAACAGTCCAGTCAGTCAGTATCATTACCCAGAGTTTGTTTCAAGAAAGCCTGAAAATTGAGATGAGGGCTGCTCAAGCCTGATTCCTTCCTCTCTCCCTGATGAGATCGGATGGTGCTTTGCGCAGGTGGGGCCAGGGGCCTGCAGGTGGATCTTATACATGCACGCACACCCATACGCATACGGACATTCCTGGGCATGCATGGGCACACCTCTGATAGAAGACATTCTACCTGGATAGAATATCTGGTAAAAGAACATCTTAAATGAGTACATTGGAAATCAATGCCTGCCCAGTTACATGCAATTTGCACTGCCCATGTTCTTTCTTTCTTTTTGAGACAGAATCTTGCTTTGTCACCCAGGTTGGAGGACAGTGGCACGATCTTGGCTCATTGCAGGTTTGACCTCCCGGGCTCAAGTGATCCTCCCACCTCAGGCTCCCAATGAGCTGGGACCACAGGTACATGCCACCACACCCAGCTAATGTTTTATATTTTTAGTGAAGATGGGGCTGGGCACGGTGGCTCACACCTATAATCCCAGCACTTTGGGAGGCCGAGGCTGGCAGATCACAAGGTTGGGAGATCAAGACCATCCTGGCCAACATGGTAAAACCCCATCTCCACTGAAAATACTAAAATTAGCTGGGCCTGGTGGTGCCCGCCTGTAGTCCCAGCTACTCAGGAGGCTGAGGCAGGAGAACTGCTTGAACCCGGGAGGTGGAGGTTGCAGTGAGCCAAGATCATGCCACTACACTCCAGACTGGCCTGCAGCGAGAGACTCTGTCTCAAAAACAATAAATAAATAAAATTAATTAATTAATTAAGATAGGGTTTCTACAGGTTGCCCAGGCTGGTTTTAGACTCCTGAGCTCAAGTGATCCCCCACCTCAGCCTCCCAGCATGCTGGAATTCCAGGGGTGAACCACTGCACCAGGCCCCATTTACCTGCAAGTCTGGCACAGATTTTACTCATGTATGTCCCCAGAATGTGGCCAAGTGTTTGGCAGGAAGCAGGTGCTCTATCCAATCTAGTTCTTAAAAAAACTAATATAGCAAATTTTTTTTTGAGACGGCATCTCCCTCTGGCACCCAGGCTGGGGTGCAGTGGCATGATTTTGGCTCACTGCAACCTCTGCCTCCCGGGTTCAAGCAATTCTCCTGCCTCAGCCTCCAGAGTAGCTGAAACTACAGGTTCATGCCGCTGCATCTGGCTATTTTTTTTGTATTTTAGTAGAGATGGGGTTTCACCATGTTGCCCAGGCTGGTCTCAAATGCCTGAGCTCAGGCAAACCACCCGCCTTCGCCTCGAAAGTGCTCGCATTACATGTGTGAGCCACTGTGCTCGGCCTATAACAAAATTTTGAAAGGATAAAAGAGTTTTGGTAATTGCTTGGGATTTAATCAAAGAGGAATTGACTTGCCTTTGGATAGGGGAGTCATTTGTAGCCAGATTTTTAAAATGCACAAAGACGATCACTGGAGACAGTAAGATCCCATCGCTCCAGCGATGCTTCGGTTAAGGGACCGAGCGCCAAGCTCTTTGTCGTAGATCTGGGTCTGTTGGACGGCAATGAGCAATTTCGTAACCTGGTTTGCTTTCTTCCCTTTTCTTTCTTTCTTTTTTATTTTTATTTTTTGAGTCGGAGTCTTGCTCTTTCGCCAGGCTGGAGTGCAGTGGCACAATCTCAGCTAACTGCAACCTCCGTCTCCCGGGTTCAAGCAGTTCCCCTGCCTCAGCCTCCTGAGTAGCTGGGACTACAGGCACGCGCCACCACACCCAGCTAATTTTTTGTATGTTAGTAGAGATGGGATTTCACCATGGCCAGGATGGTCTCGATCTCCTGACCTCATGATTCGCCCGCCTCGGCCTCCCAAAGTGCTGGGATTACAGGCGTGAGCCATGCGCCCAGCGTGCCCTCTTCCCCTTTCTAAGGGGCAGACCCCCTCCTGTCCTGCACATGTGAACCACACATTTTAAGGCACCAATCTGAGACAGTAGGGGTGGGTTAATAAAAGGCCACGGTAGTCAATCCCAATCTGTGCCCCCGCAACGAGCACAGAACACACAGCCCTTCCGGGCAGGCTGTCCAGGCCGGGACCAGGATGGAAACACAGCCACTTACTGTGGCTGCTCCTTCTTTTAGTCAGGACTCAGTTTTCCCACTTGTAACCCAAGGGAGCTGGTCTGGACAATTTCTAAGGGCCCTAGAGTCTCTCTAGTCCATCCGTCTCTGATCCTCTTGGGGATTTGTGCTCTAAGCTTCTCTGGTGGAAAGGCAATGGTAGAGTCACCACATCTGGCAACTCAAGAGATTTCATTCACGTTTTTCCCTCTTGGGAAGATGAAAAGATGCACAAAGTACAGGACCTATTACCATCATGGAGAACATACTTTAGAAGTTTGCATAACCTGATCAGTGATTGATCAGCAAGTCCCAGAAAACACGGTTTTGCTAAGATTCCGCCTGGAAGTGTCCATCCAGCTGTCAGTGCGGGACGTGGCCGTTTGCCTTAGCTACCCCTGGGCAAGAACGTTCACTCCGGAAGTGCCCCTCCCCATCGCTAGCGACTGGATAACAACTCCCATCACGTGCACCGCACTCTACAGTTTGGAATGCATTTCCATATTCAGTATTCCATGAAGTTCCCATGGTCAGCCGTGGACTGGCCAGGGTGGAGGGGATTGGTCCTGTTTTGCAAATGAGTAAACCGAGGCTCAGGATGGTAAAGCAACCTGCTGTCAATCACCCAGAAATCCCAGGAGGAAAGAGAGGGGAGACTTTTCGCCTCTGATTCCCGCTCCATGGCCCGAGCAAGCTGCTCCCTGCGCACCTCCCAGGCAGGATCACGTGGAGCAGAGTTGCGTGGCAGCCCCTATTTGCTTATGCAAGAGATCTCCGCGACCGAAGGTAAGGTCGCTCATCCCATCACCAGAAATTTTCAAAACACAAGACTGAAGTCTCCTTAAGGAATAAGCGACTGATTCAAGTTTGTTCTGTATTCCAAAGACCCGGCCTGGATCAGATCGTGCTTCGAGAAGCCTCTGCCCCTCCCCATCTTGTCTAAAGTCACTCTGGCTGCACAACTGAAGGCACCACCCGCAGGCTCTTGGCTATAAACCCCCATCCCAAGCCCTGGCTGAGGTGCATTAGCCTCCGCTTCATAACACACAGGAGCGTCCTTGCTCGGACAGATCCTTCATCGGAATTGACGAGAAGGGGACTCTCGGGAGGCTGCTAGTGAATTTGCACTTAATAGACCGAGAAGGGTGCCTTCCCTGCATTAACCACAGCACAACACAAGGGTGCAATTCAGAAGCACACGGGTATTGCCAGGCATGCGGGCAAACAGCAGCAGCGGAGGAGTCCGACCGTACCATGCTGTCTGTAGATAGGGGGTTTCCTATAGATGTTATCTTTTACGCCGGTGTCTGGGGAAGAAGAAAGAAAACAAGGAGGAGAACAGGAGGGTAAGCAGCAAGTTGTGATGATTTCTGTGCTATAGCCGTTTTTTAAGCAACAAGCACTCACCCAGCTTTAGAACCACCAGGCAGGAACTGGCACCCAGCAAGTGACAGACACCCAGGCCCCAGATCAAGCCTCCCTGACTCCAGACGCCACCCCCATCTGCAGGGGATGGGGCAGCAGGCAGGAACCTTGTGGCCCCCTGGGAAGTGTGGCCAGCTCGGACAGCCCTTTTCCTCCACCCCGTTCCCAGGAGGACAAGCATGTCTCCCTGCAGTTTGTGGGACTTTGGAAGAAAGCACACACACATCGGTCTGATGGTTTTAGAGAATCTCAGTGTCTGGGGAGCAGTGGAGGAGCCTGGAGTGTCGCCTGGCACCTGCTGAGTGAAGGGAAGCTG